CCGCAGGTCACAAGCATTTGGAAGACACTGTACCTGTGCATGACATGTGCAACTTCTCTTCACTCTCACCTAAAGCTAGAGCACCACAGGCACTGGCTCAGGATTCATTCCATGTTTGGTAGTATAATTGGCCTGGAGATTTAAAGTGTACAGGACGGCGTGCTGGGTTACACTCATACTGTGCCACTGCATAGAACGGTCTTGGGCATCCATGGATTTTGGGATCAGCAAGGGGTCCCAGAAACCATTCCTGTAAATCTCAGTGCTGTGGGAGGCTGAGGCAGGAGGATTTAAAGTTCCAGCCCAGTCTAAATAACTGAGCAACTTAGTGAGACTCTGTCTCCAACTAAAAAATTTAAAATTACAAAGGGGCTGGGAATGTAACTCAGTATGAAAGCTCTAGGTTCAACGCTCAGTACTGTAAAATAAATAAATTAATTAATTAAAGGAAGTACACACCACTATTTCATTTCTCTGTTTGTGTTAGTTGGCAAAGGATCACACCACCCGCTCTCAGAGATGGCCTCCAGCGTCAGCCACGGGCACCAAGCCCTCTGTGGAATTCACCAGGGGTGCCTGCTCCACTCCTTCTGAAGCAAAGTGCAGCTTCCACTGCTCGGCAGGGCGACAGCCCGAGCCCACCCTGCGTGCTGAAAATGGGAGAGAGGGGCTGCAGACTGTGCAGCTGAGAAAAGCTCCAGGAGCTGACAGCGGAGCAGGCTGTAGGGCTTCTGGAAAATGGGAGAGGGGGGCCCTTCCCTCAGGTCACTGAAAACCAAATGGAGCAGTAGCATGCTCCCTTCCTGGGCAGAAGCCTCCCCTCTGCAGCCTGGATGCGTTCAGGCAGCTCCACCGCATCTGTGAACCATGACCTTGGAGCCTAAAGGCCTCACTCGGGAAAGGTTAGGTTAAGGGTAACCGGCAAGACCACCTTGCCACCAATATCCCCTGTGCACTCGGCTCCAGCTCCGTCTGCCCATCGTGGCTGTGGCTGTCAGCTAACTGTTGGCTGCACTGAGGAAAGTTGTGCACTTCTGGTTCATTTTTTCCTGCACTATGGTACTCCACAGTGGATAAGAAAGTGGCAAAGGAGCAGCTGGGCATGGTGGTGGTGCGTGCCTGTAATCCCAGCACTTGGGAGGCTAAGGCAGGTGGATTGCTGCAAGTTCGAGACCAGCCTGCGTACAAAGTGAGCCCAAGGTCAGCCTGAACTGCATAGCAAGACCCTGTCTCAAAAACACAAAAAAAAAAAAAAAAAAAAAAAAAAGAAAGTGGCAAGGCAGAACACAGCCCAATACTATCAGGGGCCCTGGCTGAGGACCAGCAATCCCTTGCTCAGGGGTACTATGACAGAATAAAACACAGACAAACTGTGTATTTTAGTTCCAAGTGACACCCGGATGATCAAAGCCCAGTGACAGACTAGGACACAGGGCACAGTGTCCTTGGCCTTTGTTAGGTGCACAGCATGACTGAGGGGTGTGCTGGTGGGCTGCAGCAAACAGTGGGGGTTGACTGCTGACACAGTCAAAGCTCAAGAATCAAGGGACAACGCATTTTTGGAAAAGCACATCAGAACAGCTCATGGTTAACTGGTAACTGATTGTCTGCTAACCTGGACTACTGAGCTAGATGGAATTTGCATGAGTCAAATCCTCAGCTGCTCTGTTACCTTGCTTGGAGGCCTCAGAACTTTATGAACTGCCTGCTGGTCTGAGCTCTGGCTGCTGGTTTAAAGATTAATCTGTCCTTAAACCAGCCGGAGCTCTCACCACAAGTCACGGAGGCCTAGGACAGACTCTCTATGCACTTTTAAGCCAGTTTATTACTATTAATTATTGTCTGCTTTGTACCTTGCAAGCTGGTCCTCCGCACAGTACCCCTCCCCCGAGCAAGCATTCCCTTGTAAGCTCCTTCAACCCAGACCTACCAGCCCACATTATTTCTTTGAGCTGCACTGATCTACTTTGTCCTGGTTCCATAAATGATCAAAGCCCCCCGGTAGTTCATCTTCCCTGAGTGTCCGAGATATCCCAGGAGGAAGGCTTTCTAGACTTCTTCATAAAAGCAGTTACCAGGAGAAACTTGTTCATTTAAGGTTAATGTATTACAGCATCAATTTTCTTCTGGGTGTAACTCACCAACAATGTGAAGAAGGTACTCTTAAGGACTTTTTAAGCATAAAGAACATGGTTTCTGTACCCCAGCACAATTAACATTTCACCCTGGGTAATCCTTGTGGGAGGCTGTGTCCCCTCTAGGAATTTTAACAGCAGCCCTCGTCTCTACCCACTTAGTACAACTTTTCTCCCTGCTCCCACTTCGTGACAATCAAAAAAGTCACAAAGCAACCCTGAGGGCAAAACCACCCTGAGCTGAGAACCAATGATACAGAACCACATATTTTCCTTTTTATCTGGAAATATACAGTGTACAGCAGCAGTATTTCTTTCCCAAATACTTTAAGGGAAAAAGCAAGAACTTGGTCAGATATGCATGGTGGCTGAGCAGGAGGCCAGGCCCTCGAGCGGCAAGTTCAGCATAGCCTGGGCAGTGTGGCAAGGCCCCATCTCGACAAGAATAAGAGCTCAGATTCTGGTCAAAGGTGGTCTCTTTAGTCAATTCCTAAGCATTGTTAGTGACTATCTTCCAGGCTGTTTCTCTCTGCTTCGTGTCTCACATGAGGGGTCTTCCTCTCTCCTGGGTCATCACCAGTAGTTAGCCAATGTCCTGTAATGTCCAATGTATTTAAATGTTATGCTCTAGTTACCCTCACCCCTACCCTACAAATGAGTTGCAGTGTGCACCCTGTTCTCTGTGAAATGACCCTGTAAGCTCTGCTTGTCAACTACACTCAGTCAACAGTGAATTTATGAAGCCGGAAGGGTCACATCCGGGTCCTCGGCATAAAGCTGACTTGATTGACTTTGTTCCTTCCTTCTTGAAATATTGTCTTCATTTGTCTTCCAGGACATAATTGTCACTTAATTCTTTTCCTAGCCAGTGGCTACTCCTTCTTGGCCTCCCAAATGGTAAATGTTGGGTGGTCCTGAGCTCAGGCTTCAGCTGTCTCTTCTTTATCCACAGTCTTGGTAGGTGAGCTCCTTCAGGTTCATGGTTTAAGGGATCACTTCAACAAGATGATGAGACCGTTCAATGCCGCTCATCTCCAGATTGATATCCAGTAGGTCTCAAATTAGCATCTCGGCCTCATCATGCCCTATCTGGTTCCTGCTCTTCTTCACAACCTACTTTTGCAGTTTTTTACAGCTCACAAAGAGTAGCTCCATCTTTCCAGTTGCCCAGGCCCTCCTCCGAAAAAAGACATGGGATCACCCTTAACTCTGTGTCTGTCTCACTCCTCTCCAACCTGTCACAAACCCTGTTGGTCCCACCTTCAACCACTCCCCCATTTGACATCTCACAACCATCTTCTGCCTGATTGGCAGGGGATGGACATTTTCCAGGACTCTGGAAATGCAGCTCATGAAGCTCAGGAGAGTAACCACCTGGGGTAGTCAGGGTTTTACCAGACAAAACAGATATAACATGAGATATAAAAATGTGTGAGAAATGACATGGTTGGTTTAACATGGGCAGCCAGAGTAGGAGGAGGAGGTGAGCGGAGGGTGTCTGCACACCAGAGATGGAAGGACTCAATCCAAGGTCTGGAGTTCACTGCAGGGTCCTGTGCAAGTCTGCACCAGCAGACGGAAGGGTCTGTGACAGAAGCCAAAGAGTCCACGCCAGGAGACTGAAGGATCCAAGGCAGCAGCTGAAGAGAACGCACTAGAAGCCAAGAGACAACGTCCAAGCCAAAGGTGAAGACTGGATGGAGCTCCTGGGAAGAATGGAACCTCATTTCTCCTTCCTCCTTCCTTTTCATACCATCCAGGTGAGGAGCCACCCTAGGGTGTATGTAATACTGCTCAGCCTAGTTAAGCTTCTGAATGTCTCAAGTTGATACAATCAGTCAAGCACTACATCAGCCCCTGGATTGATCGCGCACTCCCTTGGGCCCCAGTTTGGCCAACAACCCCCAGGAAAGCACTGCCCCTGCAGGAGCCAGAGTGCTTGCAGCATCCAATGCAGTTTAAAGGTCCAGCAAGTCCTGTCATCTGGTATTGCCATCTCTCTCCCCACTAAAAAAGACTTTCTCCTATAAATAGCTTGGTTTCCTGCTGTGCTGTCTTAGATAAAGGCTGGAAAAACAGACGTTTTCCCATATGGAGACTCCCACAGTGCAATGCCCAAGCCTGTGTGGACGTAAACATCACATGGCAGCGACCCTGGCTCCATACGAGGCACACAGCCTGGTGAGTGCTGTGGGCACACTTGTGCTCCGTAGTTGTCATTTTGGTACTACAGTCCCAGAGGTGTTTACTTAAAAGTTCTATGTTTTGTGGACACGGCATGAAACTCAGGGGCTCAAGCAGCCAAGCAGGCAGGCCCTCCATGCGGGCATACCCAACCCTGAGTTGCCTTCAGAGTTGCTTCAAGGCCAGGACTGGCTGTCCCCAGCAGAGCTCCATCAGGCCTGTGGCGCTCTTCTGTCCCGACAGGGGGGGTGGCTGCACAGGTCTGCAGCATTGGTGTGAGCCACGTGGGTGGACAGAACTGGATTCCAGCGGCTGGTAGCCGCCTCTGCTAGGAGCCCAAGATTTGCAGTCCACAGCCCTCAACCCTTGGAGGATCTAGATAAGCAGCAGTCTCGCAACAGTGATGTCTCCAGCTGGGCCTGCGCTTGCTCCCGCCCTGGAGCTAGCAGAGCAGGAACCCGGGGCCCACCAAGCAGTGACGTGAGTCACAGGCACGGCAGCGCCCAAGGGGGCCCGAGGTGGGAGACTGCAGAGGAGGGAGGGGGAGAAGGCGAGGAGGAGGAGGAGGAGGAGGAGGAGGAGGAGGAGGAGGAGGATGAGGAGGACGGAAGAGGAGGGAGAGGAGAAAGGGGCGGGGGGGAGAAAGAGGCGGGAACAGGATAGGACAGCCGATGGGGGCGTGGCCTGTGAACGTGATTGGCTAATGTGGCACTGAGGGCGTGGCCTTGGCGGAGCTCTCAGGCCTCTCCGTGTCACGTGACCCGGCCGGCTATGGCGTCCGGCTCCAGCGGCGGCCCGCGTCAGCTGCTGCAGTTCCTGAGGCTAGTGGGGCGGCTCAAGGTGAGGCGGCGGCGGCTTGGGCGGCGCGGGGTCCGGGTCCCCACGCCAGGGCAGTGGCGGGCGCTCTGTAGGGCCGCAGTGTGCAGGCCTGGACAGTGAGGATGCGCCCGCGCCAGACACGTGCTGGGCCCAGGTCCCGGGTCCCCGTGCTTCTGGAGAGAGAGCCGAGGCACAGGAGAGAGAAGGGTATGGGAAGGGGGTGGGACTGGGAAGAAGCATCCGGCCTGGTGCTCGGGACCCCTAGCTTAAAGGTGCAGGAGCGGAAGGCAGCGCCCACAGCGCTGCTCCTGCGGTGCTCCTGCGGTCTCCAGCGACTTCGCACTGCTCCCCTCATCTTTGCTCCCCCACCCCCCGCGTTTATCCGATTGCAAGTCGCTGGGTGGGTTCAGGCAAGCATTTATCTTTTAAAAAGATTCTGAAACTGTGCCCCTGCCTCTGTGTGCTGGCTTTGGACTTTCCTTAAAGACCATGGCGAGGGGCTGGGGATTTAGCTCAGCGGCATAAGCGCCTGCCTTGCAAGCAGGCAGTCGTGAGTTCAATCCCTGGTACCAATAAAAAAGAAAAAGACAAAAAAAAAAAGACCATGGCGGATCTTTGAGATGCTTGTCTTTTTAAAATTTTTTCATGTTCTTGCAGTATATAAGTGCATTCCTGTTGGAAGGCTGGTACATGCATTATAGACACCTAAGTTATTTAGAAATACTAGAGGGAGTTGGAAGGGTTGAGCAGAAAACCACTGTGGCCAGGCCTCAGGATAGAAAAATGCCTGCACCCACATACTGTCCCTGGGGACTAAGGCAGTAGTGGACAGTCTAAATAGGGCTCCAAAACCTCCGCACCCCACCTCTTCCAGCAAAACCCTTGATGCAGTTGTGTTATGGCTTGCTTCCCCATTGGATTGCATTTAATCAATATTACCTAAGCAACTATACTCACATTCTTTTTTTTGTCTTTTTCCTTTTTACCGGTACCAGGGATTGAACTCACGACTGCCTGCTTGCAAGGCAGGCACTTATGCCGCTGAGCTAAATCCCCAACCCCTATACTCACGTTCTATTGGTTGACCAGTTTTGTCCCACTTCTCATGCACCTTGTGATTCCACATTGGATCAGTGTTACTTAAGTGACTAATAATTGAATTAGTTGATTATAGTTTTATCATGGTTTTACTCTATAAAGCTCCCTAGAGACACTGGTTTCCTGGGGCAACCCACCCCAGGACCCCCATTCTGTCCTTCTTAGATGGAAGCTTTCTCTTGATAAATACTTCCTACTCTCAAGGGAACTCTGCCATTGTTCCTAGATTCATTCCTTGATTTTAGAGATCATGAACAGAGTGGATCATGCTTGTAGCCATTGGTCAGGAGTTATATTTTCCTTTGTATTATTTGGATTATTTGCAGGTCCTAGATCATCCCCTATCACATGCACATGCCACATCTTCATTCTTTTTATGTCCCTTCCACTCGCTCCATCTCTTGATCTCTTTCCCATTTGCAAAAGATCTGTCTCCCTGTCGTTTATCTTTTATTTTGCTCTTCATTTATATTTTGGATTTCTCATATAAAAGAAGTCATGCAATATTTAAGCTTGTTTTTCAGAAAATACTTGTTGCTTAAACCTGTTACTTCTTCCTGTTTACCAGAGAGTCCCTCGGACTGGCTGGGTGTACCGGAATGTGGAAAATCCAGAGAGTGTGTCGGATCACATGTACCGCATGGCACTGATGGCCATGGTGACCAGAGATGCCCACCTAAACAAGGATCGGTGAGCTCGTCTGCACTTTGGGGCTTGTGGTGTCTCTGGTCAGCGGTGTGCACCACTTTCTCATGACGCATGGGTCAGGTTTCTGTAGGTTACTTTGTAAGTCGAAAGTTACTTGATTGGGGAGTGTGCAGGGGACCCTGTGTGTCTGTGGCTTCGTTTTGCAGACTGCAGTCTGGGTTTTCTGTTGGAGAGTAGTGAAGACTGCCTCGACTTGGGAAGCATAGGCGTGGTGTTTAGGCCTCGAAGTTGCATTATGTCTAAAATCATGTCATTGCTGTAGTGCGCTGTTTGCTTTCCTTTAGCTCCTTTTATGAATAGTGGCACCCATTTCTGATGTGTTCAAAACAGAGTTGAGAAAAAGGTATCCTTATTTGTTAAAAGTGTTAAATGCTGTTGGAGCTCAAAAGTTCACTAACTGTGATGCAGGTGCTTCTACAAGAAGCAAGAAGTAAGTTAGGCGCGGAATGATCTCAGATCCCCTGTGTGTGCATAGCTGTCCTGCAGGGGCCCTGGGCGGGAGGTCTGGAGGCTGGTGCAGGTAGAGAAGCAGAGGAAGGCACAGCAGGCAAGGGAAGCACTGGAAACCTGCACCCACACAGAGAGGGGTCAAGGGATGATTGAGGTTTATTTTCACTAAGCCATGTTTGTGGTACACTGTGGTTACATTCCTCGTGGGAAGAGGGTGCATGTATAGCCCAGCTTAATTCTGTTTCCATCTTCTTCTCCCTCCCCTCTCCCTTTGCTTTGGTCCCCTACCTACACAAGAGAAGGAAATCAAGTGGGTTATCCTCTGGGGAGCCCTGGTATTCGGCATCTGTTACAGAATTGAGAAGATTTATAGTAAGAGATGAAAGTGAAGTCATCGAGACTATCTTAGGACCTGTCTGAGATTTGAGCTCCCCAGGAGAGAGTGGCAGGAGGGTCCCACAGGAGGCACCTGGTGGGCCCGCACCTTGATACAGTGGGACTGTAACTCTGTGTGACTGTTCAACGTTTCTTGCCCGGTCAGATGTATTCGCCTGGCCCTGGTTCACGACATGGCAGAGTGCATCGTTGGGGACATAGCGCCTGCTGATAACATCCCCAAAGAAGAAAAGCACAGACAAGAAGAGGTCAGTGCTGATTGCTGACACTGGGACAGCCCTCCCACCAGGAAACCTGCTTCGGAAACAAAGCCAAGCTCTCTGGGCTGTTGCAGTGAGGGGGGATGTGACTGCCCAGTCCTCACAGTGTCACAGGACCAGGAGGACATGTTTAAGATTTCAGAGCCTTGCTAGAGCCACCTGACAGGATGACAGGCAGCTCTCAGGACTGCAAGGAGTTTAAAATTTGGAGCTTTGAGTTGGTGGGAATGGTGAGGGCAGGGCTTACCGAGGACCCTCATGAGCAAGCCTTAGTGCTTGCTTTGTTTTGGGTAGCGTAGGTCCTTCCAGGTGCAGGGATTTCCTAGAGTAATTAGCAAATTGGTAATTTCCTGGAGTCATCAGTAATTAAGGTCTGGTTTCTTGCTTTCTGTGTATTTCAGCCCTAATACAAGAATGCGAAAGTTTCCCAAACGAACCTCAGAGACAGCCATGGTGCTTTCGCTCTCAGTAGTAACTGGATGGAGGCAGGAGGGCTTTCATTAGAACCATGAAATTAGTAAGTGTTTTTTTAGTACCGGGGATCGAACTCACGACTGCCTGGTTCTTATGCCGCTGAGCTAAATCTCCAGCCCTATTTAGTAAATTTTAAGTTAGTCTTTTTGTACTTAAGAATAAAGCAAAGAGAAGCATTTGTATACTAAGAAATGAGTAACACTGAAAAATATTAAATGAAGGTTGATGGGAGTTATAAGCCCAAAGCCTGAGTCCAGAGAAGACACTTTTGAGTGAGAGGCTGGGAAATCCAGTAAGACTTACTGCTGAGAGTAGGGTTCTCACTCCAGGGATTACTGGAAGCACCTTTCATTACAGACCTTGGCGGCTGGTCCTGAGTCGCTGAGTAAGGAAGCCTTTGCTGAGCTGGTTTTTCAAGGCAGGTGGGCTTACACGGGGATATTCAGAGCTGAGGGAGAGAACACAGGTTTTGCTTCTCTAGAGGCCAGAAGATCCACAGCGAATCAGAGACTTAATTTAGAAATTCCAACTCACCCTAAATTCCTGGAGCACAGGCAGTAGAGTGAGGGATGTGTTTCCCTTCCTGCCAAGGTACCAGTTCAAAAAACGGGCTGGCCAGCCTCGACGGGGAAGGGGAGGTGCCAAAGAAATGTTTCCCTTTGTGGGTCTCATATTCATGAGTCAAGAATTCCTGATTCACTGGCAGAATGAACACCGAGAGAAAGCCGTGTGCTCTAGATTGCGAGTGGCGGAAAGGAGCTGCCTCCTGAACTGAAAGGTGGTGGGTAATAAAACGGGACCTAGAGGGAAGGGGTGGCAGATGATTCTGAAGCTCAGGCAAAATGGTGTCGTTATCCACACTGGCAATTTCAGAGGAGGAATCGTCCTCAAGTACCCTAAAGTCATCAAAGACATTGAAGTGAGGGGAAGACAGAGTCCTGTGACAGAGGGACAAAGGAAAGATGGACAGCCTCTCTGGAGGTGCACAGACGAGGAAGCCAGCACCTTTCAGAGAAGAGCTGTCGTCCATCCACAGGGTCTCGCCCTCAGAGATAAGAACCTACTGCTGTCCCTGCAAGCTGGGTCCTGGCAGTGTCGCCCCGGGGAAGGCTGTGGAGACCTGGACCGTCGGACTGCTGCTGCTGTCTGCCTGAAGCTGGGCTGAAAAGGGTGCTGATCCACAGAATAAATGTCAGGAGAGGGCACACCCAGGAAACTTCAAGAGAACAGGAAGTTCGTGGACAAGAAGCCAAGAGCCTAAGCTGTGTCCCGTCGCTCTTCTTGCTGCTAGCCAAGATTTGGGAACAAAGAGACCTGGGAGGTGAAGAATTCCTTATGCAGATGGTGTTAGTGGGCAAGGCTCAGTGTCAGCTGGACATTAAGATGATTCAGTGAGGACTGGAGGTGGACGCAAAGAGCATCATGGGGCATCGTGAGCTCAGGCGAGCGTGCTGGAGAGGCAGCGACTTAACCTGAGCCAGGAGGAAGGGGAGATCTCCGATGAATCAGAAGGCTGACTGTATCTGGTGGACAGGAGGACTTAAGATGAAAGAGTGCGAGTGTGGAGGACAGAACTCAGGAAGGAGCCAGAGGCGCTGCCTGTAGTCTGACTGTTGTGTGAAACTGGTGACGTGAACTTTGTACGACAGCCTGCCTGACGGGGACCATCAGAACTAGGGGCCAGACTTAGCAGCCAGAATGCAGAGTGCAGGAAGGTGCATTCCTTCGGGAAGGGAAGCACGTATTAATGGGGAAGGCAGAGCCGTAGTGTGCATGCATGTGCAAGGGTCCGAGGGACTAAGGCGCTGAGGAGAAAGGGGAATGGGACTTCACTGTGGGAGTGAACGTGGTGGGATGGAGAAAATGGAAACAGCACGAGTGTGTGCAGAGGGCTTGTCCTGCCAGCTCATTAGCACCTCTGCAGGTCAGAGTTCTGTCACCAGCAGCCTTCTAGGAAGGTTCATATTGCGGATGAGAAGGGCACAGGTGAGGTGACTCACACCCGACAGATGACAAGCTGGATTCAGGGCAGACCGTGGGTCCTAGCCTGGCCACTCCACCATTGAGCCTTCCTGGTGTGAGTGTGACAATCCTGCTTTCTGGGTGTTTGAGGCCAACTGCCCAAGACTTTGGTGAGAACTCCACTCAGCTCAGAAGTGTCAGGTTCTTTATGTGCACTGCTAACAGAGGAGGCAGCTAGGGGGATTGCCAGTCAGAGTTTATGTGTGGACCGCCCAGTGCAGAGCGCAAAAGAAGGGTTGGTCATAGCCCAGCCCTGGACATCAGTGCACCTGATGTCAGAGGATCATTTTAGCAAGTAGGTTGATGTGGCATCTGCCACCAAACGGAGCACTGACTAAAGGTCTCAGAAGTGCTCTTGTAGTCATAGAGTAACAGATGGGCCCAGTGAGCTGAGGTGCGGAAAGTCGGCTCTGTCTTAGGAAGAGAGCTGTCTGTCTCCTGTCTGCCTTGTCGTGACCTCCAACAAGCCAGCTCAGTCTTAGGCTGCTTTGGGAAGACCTCCGTCAGACCTGACAGAAGTCACTGTTCGTGCTGGGTACGTCACCTCCAAAGAAATCAGATCATCCCTTGTCAAAGCAGGATTCTGATACTTTTCCTGCAAGATTGGAGTTTAATGTGCCTGTGAACATGTAAACCCTCTGAAAGTGCGTTTCTGGAGCATGTGCATTTCTGAAAACCAATCTGTTTATAAAGACAGCTTTAGTTGGTACAAATGTGAGTTATTTTCCCAAGCATTTCTCTGAGGTTTGTGAGAAAGGATGCAAGCATTGAACACCTGAATTTCACAGCACCAAGGATGCCATGAGGCTCTGGCCCTGCAGGGTCCCAGTGTTACTTGTGAAGCAGTTTTTCGTCCCTGGTAATATAATTTGCTCTGGAAATGGATCTTGGCAAGCGTGTTTTCCTTCCAGTAATGAAGAAGTAGCATATATCCATCTTTATTTTCACTGCTTTTCACCAACTCACTGTTTTATATAGAGCCTTTAGAATGCCTGAGAAATGTTTTTTCCTCAGGGTTTAGGACTTTTAACTTGCCCTAACATCACTGAAGCAAAGATCCTAAAACATCCTGCTTTTCTTTACAGCCCCCTAACACCACCACTCCCTCCCCCCCCCACACACCTGTACTCATGTGCACACTGTTTATAGGGAAAATGGTTTTGCACATGGGATGAAACAGTATTAATTCAGAACTTACAGGTAAGGGCCAGCTGTGTCACTCATCTCTTGAAAAAGTTTTCAAAGCCACATTCTTTTCAAGGAGTCTAACCCCTGGTGTTAGACAGCATAGGACGAGACAGTGAAGGGGTTTGAAGCCATTCAGGAGGAAGTTGTCCCCAGAGTGTGACCATTGAGGAAGATGCTGCAGCGGCTCCGTGGGGGAATGATGGCATGAGGCACAGATGCATGAAGAAGCACACAGCACACACCACCCTTCCTGTGCCTGCTCTGCTCTGCTCTGCTCAGGCTTTGTCCCCTGCCATTTGGAGGAAGATCGGAAAGAAGTGGGTCACTTTCCCAAGCCCATGTGGGAGCCACTTGAGGGCTGGGTCCCCAGGGCCAGGGCCAGCCCTAGAGAGAGGCCGGATGTGTCCTCAGTGCAGCCCATGGGCCTCTGAACCTCAAAGTCTTCTTTAAACTCACTGACATGAATGACAAAAATCGCCCCTTGTGCAGCCCTTGACATTTGCAGTAAAACCACATTGACAGTGGAAGATGTGGACACTGTGAAAAGGTGTTGGTGCTGACACATGCCAGAGTGACCAGTGGTCAGCGCGGATGGCAGGCACACAGTGAGGATGCTGGTTTTTATTTCAGGAAGCCATGAGACAGATCACGCAGCTCCTGCCGGAGGACCTCAGCAGGGAGCTGTATGGCCTGTGGGAGGTGAGTGTGCGCGGTGATGCCTGCCCAGCCCGGCTCGGCTCGTCCTTCTGCCTGTCACTGGCAGCTGCTGCCCAGGTTCCTCGGGGCTCCCCCACTCTGTAGTTCCCGCTTCCCCAGCCCCCACCCCCATGGATCCTGGATCCTGGCTCCAGCCCCTGCTTCCCCCCTGAACGGGACTCTTCCCGCTGGTCTGTCCTGGTCCCCAGCCTGCCCCTGCCCCTGCCTGTGGCAGCCCCCCCCCCACTCATTGATGGCCCCCCCTGCAGCTTTGCCCCACTCTCCACTGCCTCCATGCTGGAAGATAAAACTGGGGTACCGTTGCCATTCTTTTCAGAGGGGAAAATCCAACCTTTTACACTTCCTTTAAAAGAAATCTTGGCAATCCATCAGGATTTGCAATAAAATATGTTGTCTCTTGGGGGTCTTGAGATATTTCTCTCACTTTGAACTTTTGACAGAAAAGAACTCTTTGATGGCTTTGACTGTCCTCTTTGTTGTTGTTAAACCATAAACCTAGATTTAATATTCTGTAACTTCAAATGTCAATGGACTTACATATAATTGTTTTGGAATATTGTTGAAATAAAACAAAATGCATTGTGCTTCAATATTTAAATGTTTCCTCTGCATAGTATTTGGCTCCATTAAATCCGGAGAGCTGCTTTCATAAAACAAGGCGTCTAATGAAACCCAAGACACCTTTGGGGGATTGTATTGCATCACCCTCCCAGGAAGGCGCAACAGACTCATGCCCTGAACACATCACAGGTCTGACTTTGGGCACCGAATTTCCTCACGTTAACCCCGTTGCTCTCTCTGTCCTCTTTCTTAGGAGTACGAGACCCAGTCTACCGCAGAAGCCAGGTTCGTAAAGCAGCTGGACCAGTGTGAGATGATCCTGCAGGCGTCTGAGTATGAGGACCTGGAGGGTGAGCCGGGGAGGCTGCAGGACTTCTTCGACTCCACTGCAGGTGCCCGGCGCTGTGCACAGCTTCTGCCCTTTCCCGGCTGCATCTTTAGAGGGGATGTGGCTGCTGCGAGGGCCGGGATCTCGGGGAGCTTTGCTGCCTGGGCCTCTCCCACTGCCTGCTGTGTCCCCAGATGGGCTCCTGACCAACGTGGAGCCCGACTCCTTCTGTAAAAAGGGGGTGATGGCGATCACGATGCCCTCCTAGCCCCAGGCTGGCTCCTGAGCCTGGAGACTGGTAGCGCATGTGAGAGGGCCTGCTGACAATGAGTGCCTTGTCACTGTGAGGTCGGCTGAGGAGGAGGCAGAATTAGAAGGTTAAAATAGGAGACTCTCCAGGCCAAAGCAGCCCGGTCCTCGCCGTGCTTCATCCTGCAGTCTGATGTTGCGATCCTGCTGATGCCCGTGTGGCTCCCAGTGGCCTGCTTGTCCTCCCTGGGCCTTAGTTTTCTTACCTTTAGGATGCAGCTGGGAACACAGTTTGCCTCACAGGGCTGTTTCAGGCTCCAGTGAGTTCGTGCGGGTGATGTGTGCTGAACGGTTCTGGCAGCTGCGTTCCCCGTGATCGTTTCCAGAGGGAGCTGCCGAGCAGGCTGTAGCAGCCTCAGCTGCTCCTCTGCTCCTTGGAACGCACCCCCCCTCCCCAGGAGCTCTGTGCTCAGGTCTCTGGAGAGTGGCAGGGGCAGCCCTGCTCTGGAGCGCTGCTGTGTCATGTGAGGCCCTGGGTTTCCTCTTCTCTCCCTCTGTGGACGGGGCCCCGTTGTTTCCGTCTGGGACCTTCAGCTCACCCTGGTCTCAGCAGCCTCCTCCTTAGATGTGGAGCCATTGCTCTGTGTTTGTTTATGTTTTGTGGCACCCGGGTAGAACTTAAATTCCAGTACATGCCAGGTGATGCCTTCTTATGGAGCTGATTATCATGACTTTCCTTTTCCCAAGCTGAAACTCTGGCACTTGGTGACCTACAGCACCCTGCCATCCAAGGCCTCCCGTCTCTCTGGTCTCCTTTCCCAGCCCCGAGGTCAGCATGAAGCAGCTGCTGTGGCTCGCTTTACCCCTGTCCTTGAGCCGCTGCTTCCCTAGCTTGATCCCTCCCCGGCTGCCCTTCCCTTCCCGAGAGAAGCCCTGAGATATGAGGCCAGGGTCTGAGATAGAAGGCCAGGGCTCGGCTGGCCCCCTGTTTGGTTTTGGAGGTATTTAGTCTGTGGCCCATGGGCGTCACTGCTTTGGGCCTGGGGTGGCAGAGCCAAGTGACCCTGGGCCACCCACTGGGTCCCACTTCTTAACACACCTCCCCCACCTGCCGGGAGCACTCATCCGGGGACCCAGCTTCACACCTGGGCCTTTGCAGCAGTGCCCAGCTCCTGCCTGGTAACCGGCTGTGGAGGACCAAGCAGCTTGGTTGCTGATATACAAAGTCCTAAAAACGTTGCCTTGAAGTAGAGTCAAGTTAAATTCAATGACTAAGGTTTCTTCTACTTAATGAGTTCTTAATTTAACAACCTGAGTCACACAGAGTGGCTTTGTAAACCGGAAGTCTGCAGCACGCAGCCTGAAGCTCGGACAGTGAGAGCTGCTCCCCGAAGAGCTGGGGAACAGTGCAGGAGTGCAACCCTGGGACTGGCCAGGTGTCCTCTGCAGGCACAGTCCGTCAGCTGTGTGATAACAGCCACACACTGCCTGTGGTCACGTGTTTCCCAGCTGAGCAGTGACACCTTTCTGGGTGTTACATCCGGGCCGTCTCTGCTGTGACCCCGAGGCTGTGCAGGTGGATCCCTGGGAGTGGGTGGTGCCTCGCATGGGGAGCAGGGGCCACGCCTCTACCCGGGAGTTATGGTCACTGCCCAGGGCAGAAACCTGGCATCTTGGCAGGGACGTGTTGAGGAGCAGCCAGGCCAGGGGTCTGCAGGCATCTGGGTGCACAGCACAGCCAGGGCCTGAGCCTCAGTCCTCCTGTGCTCAGGAGCCAGGTCCCGCTCTCGGGCCCTCGCCCCTGCTTTACCCGAAGACCTCAGTAAGGCCCTTCAAGGCTGCCCACCGCCTGACGTCGTCTACCCTGTCTGATTCTCCTCTTTATACTCAGTGGCACCTGACTTGACACAGTAACGGGGTCCCTTCCGTCCCCTCTGAGAAGCTGCAGTCTCCCACTGTGCAGCGGGTGCAGGTGATCACAGGACAGTGCTCCCTGGGACAAGCCAGGGACACTGGTGTCTTCTCTTGCCAACACCAGAATATCTCTCTGCTTTGCAGGAAAATTCAGTCACCCAGAAATAGTCCAGCTCGTCTCTGAAATTGAGGCTGAAAGAAACTCGAACATCCCCACAGCTGCAGGGGAACCGTGTCCCTGAGCTCAGGGCGCTGTGACACACGGTTCCTTTCTGTGCCTGTGCTGTGTTGACATCACTGTTCCCCGAGTTCGCCCATGTGAAGTCCGCGTGTTTTCCGTTGTCTGGATTTGTGGAAGAAATATGTCATTTGGGCCCCAACAGAAGCAAGGTCCTGAACATGGCAGGAGTGGGAGGAGGGGGGAGTGACTTCCTATTAAATTAAATAAAATGTTACATACCTTAAAGTTTTATAGTTTTCAGTGTCCCTTTTAAGACATCTTTCTCTGAGTTAGTAACCTACCTTCCTGGGGGCCAGATTCACTGAGGACTAGAAAACTTAATTGTGGCTGGGTTTAAGAATAGATTCTTGAACTAACAGAATTAGTGTGGTTATCTGTCTTGCACACGTAAACATACATAGTTATCTGTGTGTACCTACAAGTTGTTCTTTCCTTTTGAGCACTTCCCTTTCATTAGTACAATGTCTGTTGTACATTGTAGATGTTACTATTCTTCCAGTTTTTATTTTTTACACTAGAGAGACAATACAACATTTACAAATATGAGTCTGATTTATTTCACTTACGAGTATAGTCTCAAGCTGCCTCCATTTATCTAGAGAAGCCTCAAGAGCATCCTTTTTTATAGCTGAGTTATATTCCATTCCATGTAGATAACAATGTGTAATATATTAACTATTGTTGATTTCTGTTATTTTTTGAAATTCTGTATTTCTACCTTTTTTCTCTTTCTATTTTTAAAAATAAATTAAAAAATAAAATTCCTTACGGAAAAAAAAAATAGATTCCTGCTGATGTAGTGCTAAGGATCGGGAAAATACTCAACATTTTCCTCCAATGGCAAAATGGTGCCTTATCCCATGGTCATTGTATTGAGCAGAATTTTAAGTCACATTGTTGCATCTCAAATCCTGATTACAGGCTTGGGAACCTTGCCTGCAGTCCTGTGTTACTTAAATTGGCTCTAAGTGGGGGTGTACAGGTTCAGCTGTCACTTTCCCTCTGTTTTAGTCACTTTCTTCATTGCTGAGACAGCCACAACTTGAAGGGAGAGAGCTTCACTGTGGCTCACAGCTGTAGATGATTCAGTGCTGTCCAGGACAGAGAGAAGCCGCTCATCCCTAGCCAAGTGGCAGCAGAAGGCCACGGCCGTGAGTGCCCCCCACAGCCCCCTCCTGGTAGCACGCCCAGCTCTGCACCCATGCCCAATCACCTAGGAACACTGTGTGTGAGCGTGCAAGGCCTCGGGAACATTCTGAACCCAAACCCTGCAGCCTGCCTCCACTTCCCTGTCTGATCTGCAGCTCTTGAGATTGGTTATAAGAACATTTATTGCTTGGTGAAAGATACATTCCAGGAAGGGTGTTGCTAGAGGTTCTGAGTTGAGAGAGGTTATGCATCTGGTTTCTTCCCCTCGTGTTCCTTTGGTGGGATTAAGTGACCGCAGCCAGGGACAGTGTGGGGAGGAAGGTCGTCCGTGCAAGTATGCCCAGTTCTTTGCCATGCAGCAGCAAGGCCTGTCACTTTAATTCAAATGACAGCTTCCATAGCAAGGCCTTTGAGGCTGACACGGGGAAAATTTTTAGGCAGTGTTTCTCTGGAAACGTGGCGGTATCCATGGATACCCAATCTGCCGGAAGCAAGGTGCGTGATCTCTTCAGAAGCAGCACACACGTGTATGTGCAGTTGCTTGCCCTGAAAACTGAACGAACACAACGTGAGTGTTTTTGGAGATCTAGTTAGTAGGAAAACAGGTCCATCCGTCTATGTGGCTGAGCTTTTCCCTCTAGGTATAAAAATGCGTGAATAACCCCAGGTAGAGACGAAGTATTTATAACCACAGTTTTTGATGGCCGTGGGGTTTTATTTGGAATACTTTGCTGCTGATTTCACAAGCATAACTCACAGAGCTGGAAGCCTAACTTGGGTCAGACTTTACTGGAATAGCTTCATGATTGTCTCAGTATCACTTGTCTACCAACTAGGTCCTAATTAGCTCACACCTGGAGGGAGTCTCTCTCTCTCTCTCTCTCTCTCTCTCTCTATATATATATATATATATATATAATGGTATTATATATATATATAATACCATTTTAATAGAAACGAAACAGAGCAATAAGCTATCTGTTGAATCCACCAGCCATGTCTACATAGGTTCAAGTTTTATTATTTTGTACGTGCTAGATCCCTGGCTTGGTCTTCTAAGTGGCAAACCCTGTCATTAAGAGGCAGAGTGAACTGGTCTTGGACGGAACTGGGAAAGAATTCATGATTACTGTTTCCCGCTCGTGGGTGGACTGGCCAACACATCATTTTCAAGGGCTCTTGTATTTGAAAACTGCCCGTTTATCTCAGCCTTGCTGTGGCTGCATACAGTCTGGGGTAAATGTTGGATGCATGCTACAGAGATCAGAATTTGCCGCACCCACATTCCGTCACACAGATTGGTATTCTTAGGTAAGAAGGGGCATTTCTTTGGGAGGCTTCCTGTTGGGGTTTGGAGATGGTGTATGGGTATCCGCCCAGGTTCCTGCACTGCAAGCCTGGTTCTCAGTCAGGGAGTGTTGGGCTGGGGTCCTTCCCAGGTGGGCCTGGTGCAGGGCAGGAGAGGAACTGGTCATGGTGCTTTCCCCAAAGAAGGGACCCGTGCTGGTCTCACAGAGTGAACTCCTGGAAGAAGCTGTGAGACAGTAAGGCTGGCCCTGGGCCACCAGGCTTCCTTTCTCATGGTGCAATCTCTTTCACACACTTCCTTGCCATGGTGAGGCCCCTGACCAGCAGGCCATCACCAAAACTGAGCAGGTGTCCTTGGATCTGGGCTGCTCTTTGAAATATTCACTCAGGATTTAAAAGGAGTAATTTCTGTTTTGCACCACTGGATGCAGAAATCTTTCTGTGCCTCTTAAGCATTACATTTTATAAAGGCTGAGAAAAATCAGAATCAGAACACTTGAAGTCTTGAAGTTAAATGACGTGAAATTCCTGTTCGTGTGCCCACGCCTAGTCTTGGGGAAGCACTGCCTTGCTCATTTACTTACACACATGACGAGGTTCCCAACCCTAAACATTTAGTCACTGGGCCTTCATACAAAGATTTTTCTGACCCAAGCAGCATATAGAGAAAAACAATACACACACAACATGGATTTTTAAATTGTGATTTTCTTAGTATGCTTTTTCAGTGTGCATTTTACAAATGTGTCTTGGGTTATTTCTCTGCCACCCAGTAACATAGGTTCTCATTTAGGAGAAAAGAGAAGCATAGAACGTGGAAAGTGAAAGTCACTGCACAGGTCAGTGTATGCCTGCGGTCCCAGCTCCGTGGGCAGGGGGAGGAAGAAGCATCACAAGTTTGAGGCTAGCCGGGCAACTTAGTGAGACCCTGCCTACAGGTAAAACTTAAAAGCTGGCTGGGGATGTAGCTCATGGCAGAGTGCTTGTGATGGTATGCATGAGGCCTTGGGTTCAAACACACACGCACACACACACACAGTGGAGAAATGTCAATTGTAAGAAAAACTTCATTCTGATTTCCCTCTTCAGATATCCCTTACTTAACTAACTACTACTCTGTAAATTGGAGAAACTATTAAAATTGGAGATTAGTTTAGCATCCTAAGGTAGCTGGTCTCATAATTACTTTCATTTCCCTTGTTTTGTTCACAAGTTAGAAGCTAATTTAAGACAGCATTTCTGGAGCCATATCTCAACTTTTATGGTCATGCATGGACCTGAAGACTTAAAGAAATCAGGACTTCAATCACCATTAAAATGATTATTTTAATTGCTTAAATAAACATACATTGTTGATATGAAGGAGATCACAAGCAGCTTGAGGGAATCTGCAGTTTGCTGTCCTCTTCTGGAGATGCGTGTCAAGCTTCATCTGCAAGGACCCCCTGGCCCTTACAGGTCACGCACATCAGAAAGGTGCCAAGGGAAATCTAAAGCAGGCATCACCTCGGACTGTCAGGGAAATACACGCTGGGTGACACAGACCAGCGTTATGACCAACTGGGTGCCTGCTCTGTTTGGGACCTGGAAAAGATGACGATCTATAAACAGCACGGGTGATAGTCACGTGGTCCATCATCAACACAAATAGAGTGGAATCACTGTGTTAGGCCTCCTGGAGAGCCTGTTTAAATAAGAACACTGAGCCTGGGACTTTGCCACTGGGATTTTGGTCTTTGTATCTGGAGACGCAGGGGCACAGGTGGCCAGGCAAGCTGTAAGGGTCTAGCACTGCAGCGCCTCGTCCTCGGCCTGGCGAGGGCCTCCCGAGGTGCTCTGCGCACTGGCCTGGGCTGTGGAGCTGAGCACCTCCTCAAAGTTGCCTCCGCCGCCTTGGTTCGTCCCACCTACTTTCGTCTGAAACAGGCAAGCAAAAATGCGGTTAGTTGCTTATTGTAATTTTTCTGTATTTTTTTTACAAGAATGTTACGAGCCCGAGAACTTAGAATTCAGAAATTCCATTTATCTTCAGAAATAAGCGTGAGGTTAGCTTCCTGCCTCACAATGCTAGAATGTCATTCATACCTGCACAGTGATAGGACTCTAAACTTATTTTGCACAATTTAGCAATGTTCTTTTTATCTTTCCCACACCTAGGACTGTGATCCTTTCAAGATGATAATCAGATTGCCAGCTCACAGAATCTACCTCATTCATCTAGAGAACTGATTTAATCAAGATGGAATTGAATTTCAGATGGGGCCCCCTCTTTGTCACAAATGTATAAATATCCTTACATGACCGAAACATAGCTTTACTGCTTGGGATTTAGCTGGACAGTGTGAATTCCCAGCAAATGTCTCTAGAGGAGAACCGAGTGGCTCCATGCAAGTGATTTCTTCTTTCCTTGTTGAGAGTGGACCATGGCCCCAGCAGGGCTAATTTCCTATCTTTTGTGGCAACTGCTTTTGAATCGGAACAGCCCCCAGCGTGCTAGGTCTGCTGCTTTCTGGGGCTCTTTTGTGTGCTTGCAATTGATTCACTGAACACCAAGCAGTCAACTTACAGTTTAAAAATATGTGTAAGTATTGAGAAAAAGTTCTTATTAAGTCTTTCAAACAAGTATGTAATGGTCAAAAATGTTTATCCAAGTCTTTTTACTATTCACATCGGCCTTTATTCGTTCGTAGTGTGGAGAAACAGAAGAAGACGACAGAGAATAGAGACTCTTGCAGTAGTCCAACTGGCACCTTGGGGTCTCGGTGACACTGTCACTCCAGTGACCCGATCCTCACCCCATCGGGGATGCAGAACTCGGGGTATCTGTGCTGCCTGGGCTGCCCTTTGAAACACTTAACCAGGGCTTAAAAGTAGTTTATTCCTTCCAAAACACACGCTTCTCTAACTGGCACCAAAATCTCTCTGTGCCTCTTAAACCTTTCTGTGCTACTTGGGTCAGAAAACTCCTTGCGTAAAGGACCAGAAAGTAAACATTTCAGGGCTGGGAACCCATCTTGGTCTCAGAAGCCAGCTGTGGAGAGCAGCTGCAGGAAGGGTATAAGTGAATGATGTTTCCCCAAGACCACACATGAGCACAGGAACGGGATCTCGCCATCACTTGGCTTCACAGCCTGAAGTGTGGAATTCTGATTTGTTCAGCTATGAGAAAATGTAAAGCTCTCCTTCACTACAGAGCTGACAAAGGGGGCGGCCAGCTAGCCTGGCCCTTGCCTGGGTCTGCATGCAGCCCTGATCTCTCTACCAGGAGGGCGCGGAGAAAGGGGGCCTCCCTCTGCCTTCACACAGTGTGTGGTGTGCCTTTCCCAAGAGATGAACAAGACCGATTCACTGCAGCCTCTTTTAAATTCCTCACTCTCCTCTGCTCCTGATTTCCGGTGACATCTCTTAACAGTGGGGAACAATGACTGATGCTTTCTTCTGGGCTCAGTCTCTTTCTTCTACTTAATCACCCAGATCAAAATACTGGACTAGAGGAGTAAAGTACTTTGAAAGAAATCAGTGTGGTAAACGGAGGATGGAAATTAGGGGGTTCCTAACCACACAGGTCTTACTGACTGTATACTGCAGTACTATGGCAAGGACTACAATACTTTGCTTAAGCAGAAGTGGGAAAAATAAGCCTTCCTTGGCCTCTCCCCTTCACAATAGTTCAACAGTCACTTTGTCTCTAAAATTATAATTTTTCGCAGAATAAAATTCCATTTGAACTGCTGAGATGTGTTTTCTAATATCTTATAAAATAGCTTGTCAAGAGCACAAGAATGAACAAAAGCATAACATATCTTGTCTTATTTTTAGGTTTTGATTTGGGCCATGTAATATTTCCACCAGGAAGTGGTGCGGGGAGAGCGTGGGCAGCCTGACTCGGCAGCGCAATGGCTGCCGGGATGGAGTTGCGCACAGCTCACATGGAAGGAAGCACAGATGCTGGTTCATAGGTGCCAGCTGGGCACCTGCTCACTTGTTCTGGATGAAATACAAAGTGTGCTCGCTGACTGGGGACAGAACACAAGAGGTGTCCTCGAGTAACACATTAAAAGAATGGGGGCTGGACTAACTTGTACATGATTATGATGAATGGAAGATGTTTGTTTCCATGGGAAATTAGACTAATTGTAGAACTGGGCATCGAGGACAGATAACCAACTTAGTACAAATTCCGCATGGGACCCATCAGACTGCAGAGGTGAACCCAGAGAGGGCTTGCTTCGCAGTAGAATGTGTTTTCTCTGGGGACATATGCACGACCTCAGTCCCTGTTAGAGGTCTCAAAAACCGAGCTTGTAGTGAGCCATGGGAATGGGAATGCATCCTGGAAACCTGTATGCACTAACTCATCTGTGGGAGGGAGCAATGGGGCAGAGATGCTGAGAAGATTTAGCAAGCAAAAGTAAACTGCAGAAAATAAGTGATAGAAAGAAGAGTTAATTGGATCTCTCGTTTAGAGGAGAAAAAGAGGCATGAGAAATTTGTGACCACTGAGGAAGTGGGAGGTTTGACATAAAACGATTATCAGCCATTCTCCATTGCCTGGGTGGGCAGAAAAAGAGAAATTAGGCATTGGCTGTGAGCTGGAAGCTGTGTGGGATGTGAGTCTTGTTAAGCCCAGGGGAAATCACACACACATTGAGTGTGCCTTCAGGAGGTCTGGACACAGGACAATATCCGGTGGGCCGAGCTGCTTTTGTGATTGGTGGAGACGGTACGGGCTCCACGCCTTCCTCCCAGCTGCGTGGGGTGAAAACAGTGGGAAGCCGAGGGTGTAGGTCAGACCCTTAACCCACCTGTAAACCTCGAGCTTAGCAGAATGTCCCGAAAGCGTATTGGAATAGGTTGCCCTTTATTCCTCCTTTGCCTCTTTGTAGCTCCTTCTTCTAAAGAAACCCTAAGAATACAACTCGTGGCATGGCAGAACTTATCTCCCAAGCAACAGATCCATCCTGCTTGGGTATCTAAGGCCAAAACCAAGCATTGAGAAAGTGACTGCTACGTTTTGTGCCTTGGGTTTTGATACTAGATATTCCAGCAAAAAATACCTCCACCACTTTGCACATTGGCCCGGGGCTTGGTGCCCTCTGCTGACCATGCCTGTGCGTTCTGTGAGTAACGATCCCACTAACCAGGGTGTTGAGACTGCATAAGCTGCTGGTGGTGAAGGAAACCAAAGAGGGGCCTGGAAATGCCAAGGAAGGGCTTCACTCTTGGGCCTTCAACCTTTGATACAAGCCCATAAAAGCATAGATGGAAGGCAAGAGGCTGCCTAACAGAAAGGCCTTCCAGGCTGGCATCTCCGAACACTACAGGGCCCTGCAGCAGGGGAGAACTTGGCTCCTCACCTGCTTCAGCCAGCATCAGCATGTGGGGACCACCTGACAGCCAGCATCCACATGCAGCTGCTTTCCATCAGGGTTCAGACCCTGCATTGGTAACCTTCTCCGAAAGAGTAGGATGCAGACAGGGATGCACACAAATCACTAATAATACCAAGATGTAACGAAGTCACTGTTTAAGTGACATCTTTCAAAAAATCATATTAATAGTTTCTGTGACTTTCCCTGTTTTCAAAGCCTATACCCTTTTTAAGAGTAGACTGGTTTTATTTTTGCTTTTTAAAAAAAGCAAAAATTTATTAAGGCTTAGGCAATAAACCTAGTGATTCTTAGTACCTATCATGGAAGGGGAATATTTGCTGTTTATGTCCAAGAATCCAATGCATTTCTATAAAACAATGCACTTCTGGGGACTCGCCTTCATTTTCTGTCCCTGGCAACCGTCCCGTTAGCAGCCCAGGATGAACTTAGTAAACAGGTGTGGGTAGCCAAGGGGCAGTGGACGGCTGAGTGTCACAGGCGCCAGCCCAAGGCGGAAGAGCGCTGGGCTGTTATGAAAGTTCACTCAGCCCCCAAGTTCACCTCTGTGTCACTCACTCAAGTCTTCTCTCACGTGTCTGCCTCGCAGCCTAAGCATGAAGAGTTAAGCAGTGAACACAAATCGAATTCACTTTAAGGCACAACTCGCCCCGAGTGGTTTGGTGCAAATGACTCTAAGCATGGTTCCATTCTGATTTTATCTGCAGCTTTCTATGGGAAGAAAACGTTCTGACTTTATGCTCTGTGTGTGTTCATCTCTTCACGCGACAGGCCTGTTGGTGGCTGCGATGACGAGTGGCCCTGGTGCAAGAACACAGTCACACACAGTTCTTTTTCTGTACCTTAATGCTCGTGACAGTTGTCTCAACCCTCTCCTCAAATGATTTGAAAGTAGGAGAATTCCTAAAATAACAAAAAGAGATAGGTCAGCTCCACAGACCTAGCCTCTTAGCAACTATGCTGCTTGGTTTTCTACTCTTATTTGTAAGTACTGTCAGAGACCGCTCAGCTTACAGCAGACACTAGCCATGCTTTGAAATATATTCCACTTTACAAGATATGGAACACTTCTAAGTAAATAGGCTGGCTATTTACCTGTGGAATAAATCATACAGCATGTGACAATGATACAACTCTAAAAGTTCCATTAGTGCATCACAAATCATTCCCAATGAGTCAACTGAGTGATAGCTTAATTTGTCATTGACTAATAAATTCTATCACATTATCTTTATGATTCACAGTTTTTTTCTTAAAAAATAACGATGTTGTAAGCAGTAGAAAAAATCTTTCTGAAGGATGTCACATTAGACTTACTTGAAATTTTAAAGTTTCTTTTTTTTCCCAAATATGAGACAAGATAGAAATAGCTCAAGGATGGGAAAAAGTTCCTACATCTTTTCTTTTCCATGCCTTAAAAAGTAATCATTTTGACAAGCTTTGTAAAGCAATGTTTCTAAAAGTTAATGCTTTCATTATTTCTTGTTGAAATACACCCATTACCTGTCGAATGTCTAAGATTAAATTGTGCTAATAGCATGTGGTATTTTTCTTCCCCCAAAAGACATACCTATTCATTCTTTTATTAGCACCTTTCAAGTGTACTGGCATTTTATTTGTGACTCTTTCATTGCACTAAATGATACATATACCATCCTCTTGCTTACATTGGTGCTTTCTGATTTCGTGTACTGGATTTGGCCGTGTGATATTACAATTCAATGATGTTATTGCCATTAAAGGTGACACCAGCGAGTCTAACTAAGGACACAGTACCTGAGCTATTAAAATATTGTATTCATGTCCGTTTTTGACAACAAATGCCATTATTTTTTGGCCAAAGAATTCAACTAAAAGTTACTACATCTCATTGGCCATTAAGTACCCCCCCAAATGAAATAAAATAATAATAAAATGAGGAATGGGCCAGAGGCACTTTAGAAGGGAGAATAGTTATAAAATGTGGGTTTCTTTGTAAAGTATAAGATGAACCAGGGCTTTCATGTTATCAAGAGGGAACTAACATAGAGAATATGTTTTTGGGGTGAACTAGGCTTTATTGGGAGTTGCCCCCTGGACTCTGAAGCAGAAATGCATGTAGATTCAGACTGCATAAATTAACACTGTGACATCAGAGGGCCGGACATGACAACAAACCCGGTACGGGATTCAGTAGTGGTCACTGTCCTGCGAGTGACCCTTCAGTGTCCTCTGTTTTGTGATGAAACGTCAGTGCAATTACACGGGAGCCGCATGAAAGCACAGGCTGGAGCATTTCCCTGCTAGTGCAGGTTCCATGACACCCATCAGCTATCTCCGTGGGCAGACAGTTAAGCCTACGGTTTCCCAGGTGCACTTGGATTAGTGAAGTTAATTTTGCTTTCAAAGTTAATTTCCACACGTTCATGGGATTGCACTTGACACAGGGTCATGATTTACAGGGATTCCTGGCTCACAGAGCAAAATCACATGAGCTCTTTCCATGCTTTTCTTGGATCGTCAGACCTAGACTTTGCTAAGTACAGGGGCTCAGTGTCCCAGGTCGCTCTTTGGACGTTACTACGCCAGGAGGAGCAGCTCTTCTGAAGATGAACTGAACAGTCTTGAATCTGCAGTCCTTATTTACCACTCAATACGGAAAACCAAGGACAGTACTGCTGTTCAGATTTCAAGTCACCAAAAAAACCAAACAACTTCAGGGCAGAAGGGACCTCCCTGCACATCATGGGATAGGCAAGCCTCTAATTCAGTCACGCGCCGATGCCTGCTGGGGACAGGGAGAACCTGCTTCACCAGATGTAATCAGACCATTGCAACCACGAACTTGGAGCATTATAAACAGCTCTGGAAAGAATCTGGTCACAGCAGTCACAAACAGTAATTTCAAATAGTATCGGAGCTCTTACTGTGATGAATTCAAAGCCTAAAGGCACCTGAGAAGCAAGCACGAGAGGCATCACTCTGGCTAATGTGGAGGGAGGTCCCAGAGCCCGAGCCGCAGCCCACAGCTGCTGCCCTGGCAGCCACAGGCCCTGGGGCACCTTGTAAAGGGCAACAAATCTGGCCCTGGCTTCTAACCTTAAATGTGCTGAAACTGATGCCAATACACTGGCTTTCACCAGGCTACCACAGTGACCCTTGGCAGAGCTGGGCCACAACTTCCCTCTCCTGATTCCCAGTCTTACTGATGCCAATACACTGGCTTTCACCAGCCTACCACAGTGACCCTTGGCAGAGCTGGGCCACAACTTCCCTCTCCTGATTCCCAGTCTAACGTCCCTTCGCCTGGACTCCATTTCTGTTACTCTGAATGGATCTGATTGTGTCACTGGGTCAAGTGACCTGGAATCTGGGAATGGCTTTGTCACATTTTCATCTGGCCAGTAGTTTAATTAGATCATTTACAGACATCTGACAGTCCTATTTACCTCAAAAATCTAGTGACATCTTATTCTGTCTAGGACAACAACCCTCTAGTTCTGTAGCTACTGTTTAAGTGCTCTCCTGGGCTTGTCTTTGGCTCTGCTGAAATAATAAACAGATCTACACCCTTGCAAGTGTCCAGGGGATGCTCTGGGCCCTCTGCTACTTCAAACAGCCTACTCTGATTCTGCACCTGTGTGAGGAACCCTTATTCCTCACATGATGCAGCTAAGGGACTGGACCCTGAGACAGGGTAAGTCACTTGGCTCACACAGGAAAGACTGTTTTAAGTCAGTATGTCCGGTAAAAACCCCAAACCCAGCACATCGTCTTTCCACAGATCTTCCAGCCTTTCCCCGCAGGACCAGCGGACAGAAGGGAGAGGCAGAACGTGAAGCCGGGGCAGCATCAGCCAAGGGACCCGTCACACACATTCTGCAGTGGGAGCTAGGGAACAGTTCGCAGACATTACCTCATAGCAGGCATACTTATGGAATGGCGGATGGAGTAGCTTCAGGGCACAAGGCAGAAAAAAGGAAAAAAAAAAAAAAGAACAGAGCACAATATAAGTACATGAAAAACTTTGTCTTCACGGTTTCAAAACAGCAATTTCAAATATCAGAAGTATCCCTGCCCACCCAACCAAGATGGCGTTAGTTTTCTTTGGATGTGAAGAGCCACAGTCAGCTTTCAAGGCCTTAAGGAAGAGGAGATAGAGGCCAGGGGCCGTATTTTACTTGCACTCCAGGCGGCCTCAAATGCCTGGTGCCCCTGCTGGTCAGCTCAGGAGACCCTGCAGATCCAGCCTATTCTCGGCTTCCTAACACTGCTTGCACCGTCTGCCACAGAAGGAGGGACTGCCCGCTGATCTTGGTTGCACCATCCAGAACACTTGATACACACATAAACATGCTGAGATTCTTAAGAGACTCATTCTCTTAATCCTAAGGCTGCTGACGGGTCTTCCCGCTGACTGTGTTATTTTCTATTGAATCCCAGGCAGAAATCACACTGAGAAGGGGGCAGAAGCAGGAAGGGATCCTTTGTCCTGGGTTGGTGTTTGGTCCCCGCCCCACGCGTCAACATGGTCTCTGCTATCTCTTTTCCCAAGGGCATAAAGGTTCTTGCATCCAGTGTGTCACCTTTTCTGGAGTTCTCACTGAGGCTATGAGTACAGGCACACTTCACTAGAACGCAGAAAAAAAAGGACAAAGAAATTCAGGGCATACTGGTGGCCCTCACTTTAGATACTCCACGTAGAAACTATCGGCAAAATACTGTCTTAGAAACTGCACTTAAAAGCCATCATTAAAAGAAATCCAGCATTACTAATCTGCACACCTCTTTAAATACAAACAATACTTTAGGAAACAAAGTTTATATAAAATTCCAGCTCAAAATTGCTTAATGCAGAAGCCAGAAATAAGTGTTGCAAACTTTTTAACCTTTCTTCCCTTGCACTTCAGAAGGTAGGGAACGATGAAGGTGAAACATTACGTATTGTGCAGAATTTAGGCAGATACAGCACGCCAGAAGTGTGATGGCTTAACTGTCTCCAAACAAAGAGAAAAAGATGAATGCATAATTTTGCTGGTGCCTAAATCACTGCAACTTCTAGGCCCCATTTTCTTTTATTGCTTTAAAAACAAAACAATAAATAATTTTAAAAAATTGCGCATCAAGAAAAAAAAACAGAAGTCAGAGAAACTCAAAATGGGGAGATATAATTTTCTCTTTCTCAGCTTCACTTCCTGAAAGATTTGTAAAAAATACCCTACTCTCAGTTTTAAGGATTTCAATTTCCCTCCTTCAAGACTGAGGACCAGCGAGTAAAGTTGGTGACAGTGGTTTAGCAGTGAGAGGAATGAATGTGTGCTTCATAAGCTTGTCCAGCGCCTTGCCACCACTATCTGCCACCTCACACTGGCTCTGGGAAGGCCTGGCCCTCCCAGCCCCCAGCTCCCGGGTGGGGGGTGCAGGCTGCTTACCCGATGGAGTGAGACCTGCAGCCCAGCAGCACGGAGGGAAAAGCAAGGGCAAAGTTAGCACAGGGTATGCAGAGAGGTGACCACACCACCCTGGCTGTCTCCTTCCAAAGGCTCAGAGACAGGAGTAGCTCACTCCACCCACCACCCTCAGCCTCTCCAGAGCATCCAGAGAGCCCTCTGCCTGTGAGAGACAGGATCCAGGATATCCTTTGGTGCTCTACCTGCAGAATGCAAATCCCCTGCGCAGCACAGCATGGAGCTGGCATACATGCCAGGATCGCTAGGTGACTTCTAAACCGCAACCCATGTGAGGGTGGGTGAATCCTCATAGGCAGTGCTGTGTGCCCCAGCCTGGCTCTGTTATGCTTCTGCCAGCTACGGATGGGCTGGTCCCATTGTCCTCCTCCTGACCCAGTAAGGCAGCTCAGGGTGCTGCGACCAAGGCAGATTCCCAGACCTCACCCAGGGCTCCCAGGTCTCCCAGAGGGAGGGGCCACCCAGGAACACACTGTGGACAGCCTGGAGCCGAGGCAAGGCCCTGAGCACTACACAGGGGCGGCCCACGGCCAAGGGAGGTCCTGCCCAGTGTGCAGAGCACTGCTGTTTGGGTCATGGCAGACCATATTTCCACTAGTGTAACAGGGGCTGTGATCGGGCCTTTCCTGTTCTGGGGGAGTGTTTGTTTAGATCAGTGTTTTCCTACCACGGAATCTTCAATCAATTTGCAGATCAATTTTATTTGCAATAAAATCAGTTCCTCCATGCTGACTGGGGGGGGGGGATTTCAAGGGCTTTTGATAGCATGGTATCAGAGAAACAAGACCATGCGTGCAGGCTCTCGCCACTGTCCTCATCCATGCCTGGCTGTTAAGAGGGTTCAAGAATGCTGGGCAAAACCCAGCCATCTGTGAGGCCAAAAAATAATTCAAATGCAAAATATAAATATTTGCCTTCAGGTAACAATAGCTTAAGAACCCAAACCTCCTGCCTGCTCCCTAAGGGCTTTTCCACCCGGTTACATCCCAGCTCATTTCATTCTTTACTTTGAGACAAGACCTCACTACATTACCCAGGCTGCTCTCAAGCCTGCAACCCTCCTGCCTCAGTCCCCTGAGTAGCTAAGATTACCGCTGTATGGCACTGCACTTGGCTACACACAGAATTTCCAAAAAAGAAGAAATTAAAAACTTACTTGAAAAGTTGTTTTGTTTTTATAATGAGTTTGATTTCTAGAGACAAATGAAATTGATCGATAAAGCTTTCTTGAAGCTAAATTCAAAATAAAGGGACCTGTATTCCCTTATTTTTATTTTTAATATATATATTTGACAAACAAAAACACAATGGTTAATAACTGTGTAGGATTAACTTCCCTGCATATAAGAGAAAAATTAAAATTGGCCAGTGTTATGCACTTGTTTTAAGCACAGTGAGGACATTTGGTTCTCAGGTTCGAAATCTACCTTTACGTTCACCCTCCTTTATGTGAGAGTGAAATATGGAAAACAGTAATGTCACCGGTACCTGTTTAAATGTGTTACTATCATCTGGCCTGGGGATTCACTCTTGTCACCCCAGCACTAGGGAGGCTGAGGCAGGAGGACTATTTCAAATTCAGAGCCAGCCTGTGCTGCCTAGGTACCCTGTCACAAATAAATAAAGGAAGTTAAATAAGTACATAAATAAAGTGTCTTGCTATCACTCAGCGCTGGGTGATGTAGAGTCAATACAAGAAGTCAAATATATTAATATTTTGCTATAGGGACAAAAGAAAACTAATCTTCACTTTTGCTGACATGAAGGAAGTGTCAGTTTTTGAACGAAAGAATGAATCTGCGTGGCCTCAGCAATAGCCAGAAACCACCCCAGGGCCCGTGCAGGAAAAACCGCAGCCTGGAGCAGCTGAGCTCTGACGATCACTGAGTTTGAGGTTCAGAAGACGCAGGAGGGGCTGCAGTTTTCAGGGAGACCCGGGAGGCAGGCGGATTTTTCGGTCAGCGCTGTCCCCGTCTAGTCCTCCCGCGAAAGGATAATCTCAGGGCCCAGGGACCCCCCTCCTCAGACGGGAGCCCTCCTGGCACCCCGCTGCCCCCCCCCCCCCCGCAGGCCACGCACCGCATGTCCCCGAGCTTCCTGCTGATGGCTGTGCCCACGTTGCTGAATGCCGCCGTGGCCTTCTGCCCTGCATGGCTCAGGGTCTCCTGCGTCTTCTTGTAGCTGAAAGAGAAGGTGTGTTTGATGTTTTTACCGCAATCCCCATAAAACCTTCCTCTCCCTGCGCTCCTTTTCCCAAACAGCTGGAGGAAGAAGCGGGACCCTTGTTTGCTGTGTGGGCATGGTGGGCAGCTTGGGGCCCAGGGCACAGAGCACCAGGCCATTTGCGTGGGTGTGAAACACAGCCGGTGGGCATACCTTCCGGCACCCAAAATGGAACTGGATGAGAGACATTTTTAAAGAAGGAACTAGGCATCATGGCCTAACCCCAGCGGTTAGGAGGCTCAGGCAGGAGGGTTTCCAAGAGTTCAAGACCAGCTTGGGCTACATAGTGAATTCAAATTCGGTCTGAACTACATCAAGACCCTGTCACAAAAACAAACAAAACAAAACAAAACAAACAAACAAAAAAGTACTAAGCATATTAATACCATGAAGAGATGCTTGTTAATCAGAACTAGATTTACTAAAGGTAACACGAAATTAGAAAGCATGTTTTTTATTAATGCATATTTGTGATACACAGTGATCACACTCACTGGGGGCAGCTGATGCATGCACATGACATCTTAATTCTTCTTACCTTCTGTTGTGAGACTGCAGAAAGAGCATTCCCTGGAAGGACCCACACGCAGCCTTTCACCAAGGATGCAAAACCCACCTAGCAGTATTTCCTTCCAAGGTTTTCCCTGAACACTTTATCAAAACAAACACTTACGCTTGGGTTGAGAACAAACAGAACAGCTTCCTGCCTCGTAGGAGGCAATGGAGGCAGAGGGAGGAAGGAATGTGTGTGCGGCCTTGGGATCAGGCCTCAGTCTCTGCTACAGGACAGCCACTCTTCACGTAGAGAAGTGACAGTCACTGCTCCACCACCGCCGTCTGCCAGTCTACAAACCCCACACCCAGAGCGCGTGGATCCTGGTCGGACTCCAGCTGCCAGCATGGAGCCTCTCCACGCCTGCCTGTGGGGCTTCCCTCCGCCTGGGGTGGGGTGAAGTCCATCAGCTCCTTGTAAAGGTAGAATAGTCGGGATTGCTTTCTAAAGCCCTCTGCCCCCTGGAGACCACACCAGCTGTGGGAGAAGCTCACAGGTTCATAGAGCAAGACGTGGTATAAATCACCCAGGAGGTTGGTTTGAATGCTCCGTCGCAAGGTTGTCTGCCTGGTCCTTCCTCCTCTCCTCCTCCTCCTCTTCTCCTCCTCTTCCTTCTCTTCCTCCTCCTCCTCCCCTCCCCCACCAGGAAAGAGGATTGAATCCAGTACCTTCACACTGACTGGGTCTTTCTAGTTGCTCCAGCCTCAGCCTGGCACTGCGTCCTGCAGCAGCTCTCAAGTGGCTCACTTCCTGTCCCTCCTGAGGTCTTCTTATCACTTGCTGCTTGCTCTCTGCCCTTCCAACAGTGAGCCAGAGAGGACCCGAGCCCATCTTGCTGCTTGCTGCTACCCCAGGGCCTGGACCAGGCCCACATGATACCCACTGGCATTGCACAGTGAACAGCAGCTTGGGCCCAAGGTGGCTGTCAGGTGCTCGGTGCAGAGCAGCCGCCACCAGATGCACAGGGCCTCTGTGGACAGCAGCAGCTTCCCTCCTGCCTGGGGCCTTCACCTGGCCCTGAGCACCCCAGGGGCTCCCCTGTCCCCTCAGGAACAGCTCTATCTTCTGTTTTACATTCCCACCACCCCCTGTATTTTCCTCCCATCCCTTTTCACGGTTATCACTTAGCTGGTGATAAAAACAAAACAAACTGTCTCCTTGTCTGGACTGAGCTCTTCAACCTCAGGGAGCAGATCTCTATTCATTCAACTGAAATCTTCATGCTCAGGAGGTCACCTGCCTGCAAAACCCATTTGTCAACACAGGAACTGTCCATGCTGCCCAGTATCAACAGGCTGGAGGTTTTCCCTGAACTTGCATATCTATTCATTTGGGTACAGGGGATCGAACTCACAACCTCACGCTTGCCAGGCAGGTGCTTGTGCCGCTGAGCTATATCCCCAGCCCCTGAACTTTCATATCTAAATTCCATGTCCCAAGATGAGCAGGATTCCCGCTAGGCCGCCTGTTCCCTTCAGCCCTGCCCAGACACTCCCTGCCTTTCCATTCCTCTCCCCCTCCTCAAGCCCCAGCCAAAGCTTATCCTGCGCAGCTCAGAGAAGACACAGGAAAAGAGCCTTCCCATTTTTACATCCCAGAGAGGGGTTCAGATCCCAGTGAGAGGAAGTCCCCAGACTGGAATGAAATGTAGAGACAGCCACAGGCAGGGAGGAGGAGTTGTCCCTGCCATATGCTGCTGGGGTTACTGATTAGTGCTGGCCACGAAGCGCAAAGATGGGAACCAGAACAACTGGGGCCGCGCTTATCTATTTAGAGCTAACTGGAGCTGAGCTTTCAGGTGTTGCTCACACAGTGCAGCGATAGCTATTTTAAGTCAGCGCACATTGAAGCGTGGCTTTTGTTTTGGGGGGGTCTGTTCTGGGGACTGAGCCCAGGGCCTGAGGCAGGTTAGGCAAGTGTTCTACTGATGTGTGGGTTGATGGTCACCATCAGGCTGAGAGCCTCCGCTGCAGGCTCCATGCTCGCATCTCATCTGGATGAATCCTGGAGGCACCCGAAGAACAGCACAGGGGACAGCTGGCTATGCTATAGGGCACAGAAACAATCTCCTTTTGCCTGGAAACCATGGAAACCATACCAGGGAGATCTCAGAGTCCTGGAGGTTCAGGTCCTCAGCAGGGCATCTTCGCAAAGGCCCGGAATATCTTATTCCTTAGTTCTTAGGAACCAGCAGGCAAAAACAACCCTAGCAAAACTAAAATACATGCTATTTATCCTGGGTACCTCTGTCTCCTACCGGATCTCCCTTGGACCACAAGAAAACTGGATCCCGTCCGGGTATTTGGAACCCAGCAGCTTCCCCTCCTACTGAGTGATTCCAGGGAAGAAAACATATGACCCAGAGACAAACATTTTGTGAGAGTAGTGTCTGAGGCTCCAGGTAAGACTAGAGATAAAGCTTGTAACTCATACAAGAAGAAGAAAGGTAAGTTTGCCCACATGAGAGCCTTCTTCACTTTGCTACAAGACCACTTGACAAGTAAAATATTTGAAATCATTAGAAAAGAGCCAGCATAGTTCAGCATTTCATTTTCAATAATTTAAAAGGCAGTCCAATAAAAGCATGAGTGTAAAGGAAAGGAGTGTCACAGCTGCACCTGGATGTCCCCCTCAAAGCCTCATGGGGCGTGGTGGGGAGTCCCGAGGGTAGCTGATCAGCGTGTGTGAACGTGGATGAAGCCCAGCCCTGGGTAGGGGGCCACCAATCAATGTGCTTGTGGCCTGGACAGAGTGCGAAGGGACAGGAACCAGGTGGGCTTCCTTGCCGGCTGCTTCTGCCTGCCCTGCCATAGACTGCGTCTCCTCCGTGCCACCCCTCAGCCATCCTCTCTGCCTTGCAGCCAACTCGACGACAGTGACCTGAATAACCCTTGATCCCTTCACCTCTGGGTGTCAAGTATTTTTTCTCAGCCACAAGAAGAGTAACTAAGACACCGAGGTTCCTCATACTAGGCCTAAGACAAGATGCCCACTTAGAATTTTTATGATGAAAGTGAAGGGAAATGTGTATTTAACAAATATCTTAAAACATATGATGGAGAGAAAAATATTTAAACTATATATCCCATGACAGTTGGCTGAATGGAACTAAATTTTAGCCAACAAATTTTACTTTTTGAAGTTCTTTTATTTATTTTTTTTACCACTATTGCAAACCAAACACAGAGACTTCTCTCTGAGCTATATCTCGAGCTCTTTTTAACTTTTTATTTTGAAATAGGGTTTTCCTAAGTTGCTAAGTAAGCTGGGCTTGAATCCTGTGCTCCTCCTGCCTCAGCTTCCCAGAGTGTTAGAATGTGGCCACCATCCCCTGATGTGAATATCCTTTATACCACAGCATCAGCTGTGATTACTCATAGCTTTTTGTTTTGTTTCAAAGTATTTTTTTTTTCTAACTGCAAGCACCAAATCAGGCTTGAAAGAAAGCAAGTGCAAACCGTAGCCAGGAGCAAGGAGCAGGCGACCCTCCCGCTGGACCTGGCCTGGCTACTCACGCGGCTGTGGTCTGCACATCGTGCCAGCTCCTGCTGAAGTTCTGCTTCAACTCGTCCATCAGGCTCATGCCCAGCTTCTGTCTGATCTCTGCCAGGTGCCGCTCCTTCACCGACAGCACTTGTCGCAGTGTTGTGATTTCGTCCTCCAGCTGCAGGTGGGAAGGGACAGGTGAGAGAAACATCAGAGCACGGGGACAGGATGCTTGCAGAGCTAACAGTGCCCCGCCTTCCTCAGGGAGCCAAAATACTCAGCTTGCGTGCAAAGGCTGAAGGCGGCAAAGTGAGTGTGCTCAAAGCCACGGAGGGAGCGCACTTCTGGTCTTACTGTTACTGGACAGCAACACATTGTTAGCTTGAAACTGAACCCCTCTGGTTTCTGTCACTGTGACACTGTCACTTTTCAGGTTTGTCACTATGCCCTCCTGCATCTCAGCTGCCGCCCGATAGCTCTCAGGACTGGATCTCTTGCTCTCTGGCCACAGACAGGCTTGGGTTTCATACCCACTTTAAATATTTTCTGCTTTTCTTCAGTTAGACTGAAACTACGGAGAGTCTGGTTTCTGTTTGTTTTGTTTTTTGGTGTGCTGGGTATTGCTGTAGTATCTACTGTACAGTAAAAATAACTGGGGAAACTTTAACTTACAGAAATAAATTATTGATGTGGGAAAGGAGAAAAAATCTTAAACACCTTATGTATTTCAACCTCTTCCCTACAGAACCCCAAAGTATATTCGGTGATGAGAGCACAGGGCTATTTACTATTTAGCTGGGGGAGGGAGAGTGCTGAGTAGAGGATTGAGTTTTCATTAAACTTTTAATGAATCTTGATTCCAAAAGTGATAGAAACACTAAGATGACCAGTTTCCCAACAAGATGCTGAAGAAAGTAATACAGATTCCCACACCTACTAATTTTAAAACATGGGTATGCATTAAGCAGCATTTATGGGAAAAGAGTCCTATAGTGATGGACATGTGAACAAATACTTGGTCCTAGTCTTCGGTTCTAGAATGACATTCTGCTCATTTTCAATCAAGTATAAGACTCATATTCTCAAAGCTTTGGCATATCTTAAAAAGTCTCAGAAATTAGAACTACAACTTTCAATTATATGAAATTTTACGATTGAAGATGGGCAAGCCCTGCGTCTACACCTTCACCTTAAGCCTGGATCCTTTCAGTGATGACGGTGTGAAATCCAGCACCAAATTTGACCATGAGATGTTTTGGGTGTAATCATGCCAGTGGTTCTCAACTTCAATTCACAACCACGGAGAATATTTCCAGTGTAAAATCTTGGGGTGCAACTCTTTTCAGGCCCCAGGGTTCTGATGACTTAATTTGGTGGATTCAAACAACTTATGTTATTAAACAAGCACCCCCAGATACTTGTTTGCAGGTAGCATGGCAACTCCACATTGTAATACTTGTGTCAGCCACATCAAATTTGGAATGAGAAAGTGCAGGGAAATCACATTGGCTGAAATAATTTTCTTTTTTAACTAGAAGTTAATTATTTATTCAGTAAAAACCAACAGCATGGTTCTTTGGTTCCTTGAGTTCCTAGACCTTCTTGTTTGATATATCTTTATGCTCAGAGTAGGCTTGTAAGCATGATTATTTAACTATAAATAACAGAGATATCAAGTGTTGGTGAAGATGTGGAGGAAATGGAACTTTTGTGAGTTGCTGGTGAATGTGAAATGGTTAAGCCACAGCAGGACATGGTCTGGCGGTTTCTCAAAACGTTAGACACAGAATCCTCACATCCAGAGGTCCTAATGTGTATACCCCAAGGGAGCAAGAAATGGTGCTCGAGCCATCCTTGTACATGTTCACAGCAGCTGCATTCATAATAGACCAACAGAAAGAACCAGCTGTCCGCCAGGGAAGGAGGACCTCAACAACTCACACACACACACACACACACACACACACACGAAACAGTACTGACCAGCCAAGACAGAAATGGAGTTGAGACTACAGCAACAGCGCAGGTGAACTTTGAAAAGATCATGCTAGGTGAAGAAGCCAGGCACATGGCAACACAGTGTGTGACTCCGTTTATAGGGGACATTCAGAAGAGAAGCCACAGAGACAGAGCACAGCCTGGTGGTCGGCAGAGACTGGGGAAGAGTGAGTCAGAAGCGATGTGGTTTTCTTCCAGGGTGGCAGTTTTGGAACCAGACCAAAGTAGTTGATAGACAGCAATTTGAGTTCGTCCACTTAAAAACAGTTAATTTTGTGTGATATGAATTTGCTTTGACACGAATGCAAAGAAGTGAATTAATTAAGCTGAATTAGGTAATGAACTCGCTTCATTTTAAAATTTATGTTTGAAGATTGAAAATTTATTTTTTCAGATTATCTGCTAGATTACATGAAATTTGTAACAAAACACAAGAGAAAAATGCTTTGATTCACTACTAATCACGGAGGTGATGATTCGCTTCAAGCCTGCCCCTTTGAGCCACGCTTGCCTTTGGCTATGAGTGCCTGGGAATGAAAATTAAAACCCAGGGGCTCTCAGGAGAGCAGTGAGAAAGAAACTTCACAGTCTCAGCCCAGATAGAATGAAGGTCTGGGGCAAGAACAGAGAGCCCAGCCCAGCCCGAAGGCTTCCATGCCAACGGCAGGCAGCAGCAGGCGGGCACTGTGTGTTCTTGGAGACTGATACCCCAAAAGAGAGAAAAGCATCCAAAGTGGGTGCTGGAACACTCTGCCTATGTGATAATGCTGTCTGGTATTTTTCCGACTCCTATTAGTACCTATTTTTCTTGAGTCAGTTTATCCAGGAGACGCTGGCAGGATTTGAGTGTTATATAACCAGAGACAGACAATACTGATACCAATGCTTCATCCTTCCAAAGCCAAGGCACACTGCGGATGCCAGGCATACAACACAGCTCGGTGAAAGGGAGTCCGAGTGAGATGGCAGTAATAGAGAACTATCGCCCAGGCTTATTTTAAGAAGGAGAGAGAGCAAGAGAGCCTCCAGGTGTGGTGTGCATACGTGCCATCCCCACAATGAAGGAAACTGAGGCAGAAGGATCACAAGTTCAAATGCTGTGTGGATAACTTAGCAAGATCCTGCCTTGAACATAAATAAAAATAAAAAGGGCTGGAAATGCAGCTCAATGGTAGAGTGGCAAAGTGAGGTTTATCCTTAATAAGAGGGGGGAGGAGAGGGAGAGGGAAAGGGAGGGAAAGGGGGCAGAGAATGAATGAGAATTAGTTATTTCAAGACTTCAGAAAAGCAGCTGGTAGTGAGCTAGAATAACTCTCGGAAGTGAAAGAGTACTTGATAAAGCTTATAAAACATATTCTACTTGTGGTATCTGCAAATATAAATATTTGTTCAAGTTGTAAAATAGTTTAGGCTAACTGTAACCTTCTCTAGACAACTGCACCAGGGACCAGAGATTATCTTGGTCCCCGTCCAAGGGACTTTGAGGATCACATCCACAGCAAGGCCACAGTGATACAGTACAGCTCAAATGGTGCTGAAAGATATTTCTCTTTTAAGGTGCTGAATCTGGCCAGGTGTGCTGGCACCGCTGGTAATCTCACCACTGGGGAGACTGGAGGGGGTCACTGTGAATTTGAGGCCCACCTGGCCTACACAGTAAGTTTAAAGTCATCATGAGACCATCTCCAACAAACAAACAAACAAACAAACAAACAAGAAGTATAGAACCTACCTGTCTTATTTGATGCTTTTGGCTTATTTTATGCCAAAAGAAGTCTTTGCGGAGCCTGCTGTTGGTGCACACACAAATCCGGTGATCATGTGTATGAATGGACTTATGAGATTTAGCTAGAAAGCAGCCATGGACAGCAGGGAGGGCAGCAGGAGTGACAGGGATCCCCACAGACAGGAGGAGATGAGTGGACAGAGGAGAGGCATGGACCAGAGACGACACTGGAGATGAGGCACACCGAGGACCATGTGCGGCAAAGCAGTCACAGACACAAAGGCCCCAGGCACCCAACAGGCTGGCCTCCAGGTGCCTGAGTGCTGACAGACCCAATGGCCTCTTTCCTTTGGCCCAGGGTCCCAGCAGAGCGTGTCCAGGGAATGGAGCATCTCAAGGATGTCACAGATCTTCTGGGATGGCTCTGTGTTCCCTATACTAAGTAAAGGACTCGATTTTCTGTGTGCATGCAGGCACACATGGGTGTGAGCTTGTAAAACGATAGGGAGAGAGTGAGTATAAAGCGCAGGAGGCCTGCGAGGAAGGGAAATAAGAAGAGGAAGAACTGCGGAGAAAATGCACTTTGCTCCTCACTGGCCTGGGAGCAGACAGCCGTGTCCAAGTGCCAGCGGAGGTCACGCTGCTTTTTTGGCAATGCACGCATTTCTCCATCTCCTAGGAACCCAGAAAGAAGAGACAGAAAGCTTCGCAGGCCAATTTGAGTGAAGGGCAAATACACCAATCCTGGCACTCGAACCCAGTAACAAACAGCCTGGGGTTACCTTCAGAAGTCAGGCTCCAGAAAGCTTAGCAATGCAACTTGCTGTATGCTTATTCCCGGCCACAACAGACAAGAATCTGAAACTCTGCCATATGTGTTTGTCATATATCTAGGGGGCATTCCTTTAAAACCAATGCTGCTTTCTAGTTATAAAAGTAATCTCAAAAAAAAAAAAAAAAAGTAATCTCTGCTCATCATGGAACATATAGAAAATACAGAACAAACAAAAGCAAACATACATAGACAAATACAAGCATGGGGACCCCAGAGCCCAAAGAAATCAAGGCATTCTTTGGTGGCTGGTCCGTCATAGAGGACGTCTGTGCACTTTCCCAGAGAATGAGTGACGTTTAAGCACAGAGTAAGAATTGGCTTTCAGACCCCAGAGTTGATGTGGATTTGGTGCTGTAAGAAAGTGTGGAGCTGGTCTACAACCCACTGAGGCTGACCCTTAAAAAGGAGCCTGCACCCATGCCTTGGTTTTAAACTAACTCCATCAGGTCTGTGAGGGATTTATCAGTCCATCAGATTCTGATACTATGCACATTTCCACATGATTGTTATTGTTGATTAAGCAGCACAAATATTTATTTTGTAACCAGCAGATAATGAACAATTAGTATTTTGAAAATATTCTGAAACACAAGAATCGTCTTGCAATGCATTCATTTATCACATTTCATGATATGAAAGACAACACAGTTGCAATACGGGACCTATATCCTGGTAATCATAACACTCAAGGTCCAGAGGAGAAACGGCAGCAAGCAGAGAGCTGAACATACCTGAACTAACTCTGCCTTCAGCTCCTCCTTCTCCTCCTCGGAGAGCATGCTGGAGAAGTCAGTGCTGGCTACTGTGTCCTCATCTCTTCCTTGCAGCGGCTCTGTCTCCAGCAAACCTTTAGGCAAAATTGGTAAAACATAATGTGCTTGGTGGTGCTGGGGTGGCATTTCACCCTGGTGATGGGTGGAACGTGCTTTCAGGTAGCACAGGCGGGTCATGGAGGCTGGCCGTGCGTCTGTGTCTCGTCTGTCCCTTGTCTTTCCCTTCTAGCCCTGTTCTCCTGCTCTGCCTCCAGCTGCAGAGCTTTGCTCCACTACGACCTTCTGCCCTAGTGTCTCTGCCTTGGAACCCGTGACTGTGGACTGAAACTGAGCAAATTAAACCTCTCCTCCTGCAGGCTGTGGGTATCAGACATGTCATTCAGCAGTGGGAAAGCTGAGTGATGCACAATTTTAAAAGTGACTTTAACCAGCTTCTATTTCCACAGCCCAGAGGACTAGATACTCTGACTCTCCCACTGGAAGACAACGAAAAAGTTCAGAAAAAAAAAGAAAAAGAAAACTTCCTAAATGTGAGATGAGCCACAGGCAAAGCAAAGCACACCCAGAAGCCGGACAGCTAAGTGAGAAGTGGGAAGCTGGTGAGGTATACAGAGCAAGCTTTCCTGGACTGTAATTTGCATCACACTGCCAGCTTTCAGGGTCACTTGCTTCTCCTGGTTCTTAGGGTACACAGGACAGAGAACAAAGCCCATGGCCACTGAAAGAGAAGAGCTCAATGGAGGCCCCTGCGTCCCCACAGGGCTATGTCCAGAGTCAGTGACTGAAATGGATGTGTTACTCCCCCCTGGATCTCTAAGGCAGGTTGCCGCCCCTAACAAGGCGACCCCAGCTGAGACCGGAAGTGAGCTCGTCACCTGACTGCACACTTCTTAGGTGGTCCAAACATGGGGGAGACCCGAATTCCAAATAGGAAGACTCTTTGGTCAGGTGCGGTTAGTACTAGGACCCTGGAGCAGCTCAGCTGAGGGGAAACTCCAGGGACAAACCATTCCAGGAGACAGAAAGACAGGGAGGGTCTGGGTTCCTGACACCATCACAGTGAAACAAACCTGCATAGTGACATGAGAAAAATGCCTTCTAACCTCAAATCTTAAGATTCTCCAGGAAGGACTCATGGTGTCTGGTAGACTCACAGGCCTGCAGGTTCGGAAAGCACAGCAGCCAAACACTTGTGGAAACTTCACCCAATTGTGGAAACTTCACCCAATGCATGACGTGTGACACAGCTGTGGGGACAGGGAGGCCTTCTAATAAAAGGTCCTCGAATAAACAGTTATATACAGCAAAACTAATTTGGACAACGTCACACCATTCACTGGGACAAAGCCAGGAGCATTTTAGAAAGCGACGCAGTTTACGCTGATGAACCTCTGGGAAGAAGTGTGGGCAGATGAAGAAGGTCCCTGTGCCATGCAAGAGATGACCGGCACCCATGGGCAGATATCTTTCAAAGGATTTCTTCCTAGGATAGGCAGAATGTATAGATCAATCTTAAAAGACAGAAATAAGGCAACATAAAAATAGGTGAAAAGATCCAAACAGATTTTTTTTATAGGAAAAAAAATCACAGATGGTTAAAGGAAACCTGCCCACCTTCATGGCTCTCCAGGGAAACACAAATGGACTTGTTCCTCACTTGCTGTGAACAAAACGTTCTAAGTCGGCAATTACACAGAGCTCCACGCTCAGCCACTGCTGTTGAGAATGTAAATTTAAACAATTTGGAAAGTAACTCCGCATCAACAAAGAAAGCTGGACACAGAAGAGGGCTTTCACATACTCCACAGTGCAAGAGTTCTGCACCCCAGTATTTTCTCAAGCCACTTTACACATGAGGTCCCAGGAAACTAAGGAAACCTTTCCTAATAGCAATACGTGAAAAGCTGTACAGAATGAAGTTCATAGTCAGGGCAGAGCTTGTGCATGGTGTGGTGCATTTGCCCAGCAGACGTTTCAACAGCTAAGTGAGTGGATGGGACGACAGCTAACCATGTAACTCAGAAATAAGAAACTGAGGGGGAAAACTCAGGGGAAGTAGGATTCCCCTGATAAAGTAGGAGTCTACTTACATGAAGCACCAAACTATGCAGACTAAGTAAAATACTGTTTAGGGAAAATAATCCCAAAGCAAAGGCAATGGAGGCACAATCAGGAGCATGGTTTTCTCTGAGGAAGGAGGTGGGAACAAGCGACCCTCAAGGAATCCCAGTAGGATTCACGGCTCTGCTTTGTGTCTGGGACCCCAAAGTTCTGTGCATGGACCTTTTCTGCATCCTTTTAAGGATTCTTTTCTTTTGTATATTTATCACTTAATAAAACTAATTGTTATGGTATTTTTGTCTCAGCAACAAGAAAACTAAGACACAATTAAAATGGATTTTTCCTAAAGTTAATAAAGAAAGGTGACACAACTTCCATGTCTGTCAATAGATGAATAAATAATACTATGGAGCACTGCCCTGCTAGAAAGAAGGACAAATCTGAAGTATTTCCAGGAAAAGGGATGCAACCCGGAGACCACAACAGTAAGTGCAATAAGTCAGACACACAAATTTAAATGTTACATTTTTTAAAGTATCAGAAACCGAAAGTATTAATTATTTAAAGAGCAAAATAAAAGATAGATGATATGACACAGGTAGACAGATCTTTTACAAATGGGAAAGGGATCTAGAGATGAAAGGAAGGACAGGAAAGAGGATTTGAAAGGATTAAGGTGTGTTATGTGCTTCCACCAACTCCAGGATGTGATCCTTATGGACTGCAAACACGGACTGATCATAATTTAAAAGTAAAAAAATCCTACCAGATCCGAATATCATGCTCCACGTCTACAGGTTCTCCAAATGCTGCCACCATCCCAAGTCCCGCACATCCACCTCGATGGAGACCATTACAAAGTGGCTATGAGCAGGAACTAAATTAGCCAATTGGCTTTCTGTTTACCTACGAGTGTGCCCCAGGCCCAGGTGACTTGCTCAGAGAGCAGCAGCTGGCACACACTAACACAACCCTCCAGGACAACAGTCACAGGAGATGCCTGTATCAGTTCATGACACTGTGACATCTCAGAGAGCAAGACATAGTCACAGCTGAGGTCACCTGGCTCTCACTCCAATTCTTAGGGTGAGACCGCAGCTGCGGTTTTTCGGCTCCTGCTGTCACCACTGACCTCAGCGACAGGATGGTTCTCTTAAAGGCAGAACTCACTTCTGGGGAGTCTTCCATCTAAGCTCCCGAGGTCCTGCTCAGTTTCCCGCCTTTGCCTCAGCCACCCCTTTCCTCTGTCTGAAACTCAGTCAAAATAGGGGATCCAGAAAAGTCCTTTCTTAGTTCCAAGAGAGTTCTGGCCTTCCCAGAGTCCCTGAAACATATTACTTGTCTCTTTTATTTAAGCCTTGGCTGAAACTCATATAGGACATTGGAGGCCAAACCAAGTTCCCAGTCCTGCATCCTTCTGAGTCAGCCATGGACCATTAGTGCCCACATCTCTGCTAACACACAGGCGCATACTCAGTCCAAGGTCACTAGATCCTTGGAACCTCACAGGTCAATTTCAATGCCAAGTAACTTGCTTCTTCATAACTAATACCTGTTCATTGTAAAAGATGGTAAAAATAAAATTCTTAGCTGCTATTAATTATACAATACTATGCAGGAGTCATTATTTTGGTCTTACTTTCACGTAGTTTTCTGTATACACATATGACATTTACCATGGCACAGCTGATTTATTTATGCAAAAAGGATATCAAGAACAGTCGTTAGTGTTTAAAGACACATATTTACCTTTGTATGTTTTTAGTGATTTGCAGAGTTTTGTCTTACAGATGATTGATAATGTGCCCTACTTATTGGGAAGGTGCAATGATCATCTCTTAAACTAACTGGTAAAAACCTTGGTGATATCTTGTACATTAAATTATTCAAAGGACATGGATGAAACTCATGCCAATCTATCTCTCATAAAGACTGTACCAGTTTCGTGCAAATACCAGCAAATTGAGAGAAACTAGAGAACAGACTTTCAGTACAAACTGTAACTACTCAGTACAATCTTTTTAGTTTTTATGGGTACCAGGGATTGAACTCACGACTGCCTGCTTACAAGGCAGGAGCTTATGCCGCTGAGCTAAATCCTCAGCCCCTACTCAGTACAATCTTTAAAGCAGGAAATACTGTCTTATTTTTGCAGTAAGCCTGTACATTTATATTGGCCTACTTAAACTGTCTATACCAGGAATCAGAAGCACTCCCAGCTTAGCCAGAAAGTTAAACTGCCCTGCACTGGGGAATGAAAGACACTCTGGTGGAAAACACAAGATGCTGGGGTCTTCTCCCCAACTCAGCCTGGCCCGGGGACTTTCAATGCTGTTTGCACTGCACTAGAACCTGAACTGTTAGCCTTTCCTGGAGAACACACAGTCCAGGATAGACACAAAAGTTCCAGGTACTGACTCTGCAAGACATCAACATCTGTAGTCAATTTAGAGTAAACGCTAGAGAAGAGATCAAATTTTAAATCCTACATAATGGATAACCCCTGAGTGGGGAACCGATTATACTTAGCTGAGGGGAGGCTGGAAATAAACCGGAGATAAAACGAGGTCATCTGCAGTGGTCAGCTCTGATGTATCCCATATCCCAGTCTTGGAGACCTCGGGAAGCTTCCAAGATCTCCCTGCCAGGAATCACCTCTTCTAGAAACCACCTAGACTAGGCTGCTGGTCAGTCTGGGTTTCCTTCCTTCTCTTCTTCAGCTCATGTGTGTATTCCCCTGCTGCTTCCTGGCGCATGGGGTCCCAATGGAGTGGTTCAGCGAAAACACTTCATTAACACACACAACATGAACACGAGGCCTGCCCAGTTCTGCAGAAAATGTTAGGGTCACTGGTTAGGGAAGCAGTCACCACATTATGAGGCTGAAGGTAATCACTGAATCAAGGAGCAGGTAGGAAGAGGAGTTGGATGAAAAAGTTTATTCACAATGAAACTGAGCCAAATCAGGGGGAAAAAAAAAGGAAATTGAACAAGATATCCAGTAATAGATGAT